TGATGAAATCAGTACCTTTAACAAAATAGGATTCACCAGATGAATATGAAAGAACTTATAAGAAGAGTAGTCTACTGATTAGAGAACAGAAAAAGAGAGCTTTATTAACCCCAAATAAATAAAACCAACAAGGAAGGAGCCAGGGAACACGAGTGGCAGCATATGTTGGTAGAACAACTACATATTGTGTACAGATCTGATTTGGTATAGCATATTGAGACATGTTTATGTAGTCATGTGGTGGACCAATGATATACTCTTCTATTTATGGTTCACCACCAACTGCTGAACTTTCAACTAGCAATGCCATCTCCCCTTTACACAGAATAATCAACAAAATCAATATGATGAAATCAGTGCCTTTCACTGAATAGGATTCACCAGATGAATATACAAAGAATTCAAAAGAAGGGTATTCTAAGAGAAACTCTAATGGGAAGATAGGGGAATGAAGTTAATTAATCTTCACAGTCGCAAACACTGAATCCTCCCACCTCCAAGCTAGGTGGCGAAGAATGAACCCACAAGATGGTTGCACAAATTGCTAACCTAGCACCCTTTCTTCTTCAAGAAAATCAAAGTAGAGTGATAGAATATGGGCTTCCCCATGGAAGAATGATATACCCTTCTTTCCTACTAAACAGAGTTGTACTGCTAGTATGCAAAACCTTGCTTTGGGTGGGAGGATGTCACATGAATACATATTCAAACATGTTCCTGGAAGCGTGAAGAGAAAGATAATATGTGTACACCATACCCCTGGCAAGAAATGGATGTGTGGCTCTAACTCCATTTTATCAATGTTCCCAAAGGGACGCTTTAACTCCATCACTAGCAAAAATTTAGTCTTGTCTATATTGTACCGGTCACAATTTATTCAAGCCAGCATGAAGCACATGCGTCTTGAGTCCAATTACATACAGACCAAAGCATGTTGTACAAGCTTTTTCTAAATAGGTTTTACTTGTCAAATAGAAAATACAACATCAAAGCATAAGGAAATAGAAAAAGCCCAGATGTTGCTTATTGTCCTTGAGAAAGCATGGGACACAGTCAACACTTTCCCAACATTTAAATAGCCAGCTGACACAAAAGGAAATTGTTTCCAAGAAATAGCAGATAGCATACCTGAAACATCCTCCATGCCACGCAATTTCTGCAAAACTTGTTTTGCCTCAAGCATTCTTCCTTTACTGACTAGCCATCGAGGAGATTCAGGCAAATAAAGTACAGTTAATACGAAATAGATAAGAGAAGGAACTGAAAGAACACCCAACATCAGTCGCCAACTCGGCGAGGTCATCAAGGACATTCCAAAAATCATGCAGTAGGCCAAGAACATTCCACCAGAACCAGTGAACTGCGGAAGTGTATTAAGTGACCCTCTTATTTCCGATGGAGCAGTCTCAGATATATATAATGGGACCAGTGTAACTGCTAATCCGATCCCAAACCCATCTAAGAGTCTAGCTATAAGCAGAACATAGACATTAGGTGACCACAACATTATTAAGCCACTGAGGAAATAAAACATGGATGACAGAATAAGCATAGGGCGACGACCAAAGCTGTCAGATATGGGTCCAGAACAAGTTGTGACAAGCGTCGCTCCAATGAGTGACATAGCAACAACAAGTCCTTCCACTGAAGCATCCAAAGTAAGTTCCTTCTTTATGTATACAACAGCTCCTGCAAGTTTAAATAGTTAGAACACCAAGAAATAATGCACGACTCTTCTAGTACCTTAAGTCTAAACATGTTTGAGAAAAGAATGCAACTAGGACAGGGGCAGAGCTAGAAGCACGAGTGCAGATTCAGCCGAACCCAATAGCTTTTGATACAGTTGTTAAATATGTACAAATATTAAATTTAGAACCTAGTTATTCGTACTTAATTCGCCGTTCTAAAATTCAGAACCCATAAAATTAAAATCCTTTGCTCTACTTCAAAACTAGGAAGACATAGATTAAAAAAACACAGTGCTAATTCTACACGTATTTGAGAAAAGAATGCAACTAGGAATACATATGGATAAAAAATAGTAATAAATAATATGCAGGAACATGTAAAGGACTTTAGTAGTAAATTCACAATGAGAAGAAAACAATTTAATAGCTGCAATAGCAGAAACACTTCATTGAACTATCTGACAACTTCAATAAAATAACAATCATATAAATGTTATTTCCATCAAAACAAATTTAATTAATTGGAAAGATAATATCAACAACAATGAGTAAAGAATGTGTACCAGCAATAGTAGCATTATCCCAACCCTGCAAAAAATTTCCAATGGTTGCGGCAAGCGCAACTAAAACAGCACCATTCATCTTTTCCAACACTGCACACAAGTCAATCAATTTTGAACTATACCTGTAAATTAAAAACAGGGAATAACTTAAAACTCAATTTCCACAGATCTAAATACTATCAATCTCTAAGAAAAACTAAAACTTTATGTACATAGGAAAGAAGTCATTAGCATTGATAGTCTAAAAATACAAAATTGAGGGATCTAAAGTAGAAAAGATTGTACCTTTTGAGAACAGATAGAAAGAGGGAATATTCTAACAGTGTGGAATTGAAGCTAAAGCAGAACAGAAAAAAGATTTTCCTATATTAGTTAAAAAAAACAGGACAAACAAAGAGTTTGGTTTGTGATACTTTTATTGTAGGACAAGTGGGGAAAAAAGACAACTGAAACTAACCCAACCGCCTTTCAACATATCTTCAGACAGCATTAAAAAGGGTTTTGTCTTTGTAAAAAGTTTGTCAAATTAGAACCCACCCCAGAACCTTAAAACTGGAAATATCTTCAAGAAAATTTTGGTATTTGTTTTTTTCTTCAGGATTTCAGTAGAAAGAGAGTAGTGGTAGTAAGCTATTAGTGGGGAAAGAATAGAGAATAGAGAATAAAAGAAAAAGGAAGAACAAAAAAAAAATCTGAAGAATAAAAAGGAAAAATAAAGATTAATTAAATTGGGAGAAGGAGACAAAAAAAGGACAAACTAAGGTTGACCCTTCCAGGTTCTAAACGGATCCGAATTGTGACCTCAGAATTATAGGACTCTTGACTCTTCCCACTTCATGAAAGTTTAGTAGAAAATAGGAGTAACTTAGATATCCTTCATAATATATTATAATGTATTATTTTAATAAATATAATATTTAGATAGATGATATCGTTTATCGTCGTTTCATGATGTCATGCATCGCTCGTATAAAAAATAAGCTTATAATATTACAAAAAAAAAAAGTAAGATACATGATAAAAATATTACATAAAAAGTAAAAATGAAGGATAGAATATGATTATTTAATAGTAATAAGAAAGGGCAAGATAAGATAAAAAATAAGGTAACAATATGATCATACCAAATCGGTCATTATATAAAGTGATACTTTTCGTTATTATGTAACAATGAATTTGACGATACGACATAATAGAATTTAAGTAACAATCAAAATAAATATTATGTTTAAAGTAACAATATGATACAATACAACATATAACAATCATCCAAACAAGCTGTTAATGTTGTTTGGGAGAAGTTGTTTGTTATTTTCAATTAATAAAGTACAATCTAAGATCAAGTTAAGTACAAAATGGTTAGGAGGCAAAGGTACAATCTTTAAGTTAGAGCTGTCAAAACGGGCTAGCCCAGCCCTAAGAAGATCGCGGGCTAGGGCGGGCTGGCTATTCAATTTTTTTAGAAAAAAATATTTCTCCAAATCTTTAGATATTTATTCGTGATATAATCTCTTGATCATATGAGCGACTTCTCATTATTTAGAGTGTACAAGATTCTTGATATTTGACAAGGAATATCATAATTGAAATGTAAATTCTCTATATCTCTAGCTCTTCTTTTTTTAACGTTACATAAATATTTTTTTTTTTGTATTTTTCTTTCACTTTCCTTAGGTTTAGGAATTGCTTCAATAAGTTTATATGTTAAGATTTTTTAATTTAGGTTTAACATTATTTGTCGATTTCATTATTATAGTCCATAAAAATTTTAAAATTCATGAAATTTGCTAGTATTGTCACTTTTCTTTGGATATTAAAACTTGACATTTTTCTATACTGAAGAGCAATTTAATAATTAATAAAATATTAAAGTAACCAAACTAATCATTGGCCACTTAAAATAATATTTTCTTTGGAAAAAAAATATTATTGGCCACATAAAACATTCTTAGTTCGTTGTTAATTAAACAAAAAAAAAACTAATCTTGTCACACTACATGCATATCAAAAATACAAATTCTAATTGATATGGAAGGGTAAATGAGCAATTTAAGGTTGGAAAATAGGGATTATAGTTAATATTTTTTTAGTTTTTACTTTTTAAAATATTTAAATTTGAATATAAATAATTTTTGGCCCACGGACCGGCTCAGACCCAGCCTCGGTCAAGCCTCAAGAGCCAACGGGCTGACTTGGCTCGAGCTTATAAGCCTCAGTTTTAAATGGGCTAAAAAAATCGCAACTCAGCCCTACCTAATAATCGAGCTAGGTTGGGCTGGTCACGGGCCAAATCCATTTTGACGGCTCTATCTTTAACCAACAAAAGTTGTGTACATAATTTGCCCTTGAGTATTTTACGCATTTCACCTCTGCAATAAATATTGTGGCTTTAGGAATCACTTTGCTTTTAAAAAAAATGTTTGTAAAGTGGTTAATTATGTTTCAATAAAGAGTTGGATTGACAGGTAAAAAGGGTTTTATATTTTAACATATCATAAAAGTTAAATCTTTTTTTTAATAATTTTTTGGAATTATTATATACATTCCACGTTTAGTTCTAGACATTCCTTCCAAATTTTCTTTTTAACAAAGTTAAATAGGAAAAGAAATTAAAAGATTTAGATATTCTGAAAAGAAAAACTTTCTAATAATTTAATATCCCAGAGGTTATGAAACTAATATTGGAGCATATATATAATAATTAAGGAAGAGAATCATGAAACCAAATTAAATAGTTATGAAATTGATACAAGTGATGGGATGTTTGCCAATACAAAAAGAAAACTTTAAATTGATGATTGTATTTGTAGGGACGGTTGTCTAATGGCCGTTGCTTATGGCCTATAATATTCTACGCTAAAGTAAAATTCCATTATAATAATAATTATTACTATCATAACCATCTTATTGATGCTATTTTGGCTTTTTCTTAATGAGAAAAAGAAAGACCATATTTTTACTTTAATCAACAACTTTTTTTCCCTCAAAATTTAATCAGATACTTCGAGCACAAATGAACTTGTGCCACTGATTTCTCATATGATAAGTTTTTTTTTTCTCTCTTTTTTGTGTTTTAAATTCAACAATTTCCATCACCTCCTCCTACTTTTGTTCCTTTCATCTCTATTTTTTTGTTTTCTTGTTTCTTAGTGTTCTTGTTAGTGTTGGTATTATAGTTCAACACTACTGATGACTGATGGTATATTCCTTTAATTTTTTGCTTCATATTTTAAGACTTCACTATTAAAGAAAATGTTAGAATAATGATTACACTTCATCTTTTACATTTTTCTTTGTACGAGGTAAGAAAAAAAAAATTAAGTAAGAATAATTAGAAAATTAATAAGGAAAAATAGAACAATATATTTTTTTTCAATTCCTGATTTTCTTTAGAAGTATTTTGAGATTATCTATTCATTCTTCAAAAAATATAGGCGAATTTGGATGAATAATTGACTGCATAATCAAAGGAATATATAAATTGGACAGGAGAAAGTGTTAACCGTACATGTCTTCTTCAGGGAATAGCGTTTAGGGTTGAGTGATATAAATTAAAGCTCTTAATGAAATAACATTTGTGACCAACTTTTCTCAGCCAAAAAACTTTTTCTTGCTCACCAACTCCTTGATTGGATCAAGCATATTATCAGAGTGGACATTAATCCTGTTACGCTTCATCCAAGTGTGAATGTAATTACATAGATATTTGTATACTTTTTCTTGCTTTCTTGAGCCGAGGGTTTCCTGAAAATAGTCTTTCTGCCCCTCGGGGTAGAGGCAAGGTCTGCGTACATATTACCCTTCCCAGACCCCACTTGTGGAATTATACTGGGTTATTGTTGTTGTTATTGTTGCTGTTGTATCCAATATTGAAAATATTTAGGCTGTGTCTTATACTTTGTACACGGTCGAAATCAGTTATGTCCAATTTCGTGGGCTTGAGGGTCACTTCGAGAGCAAGATCAAAATAGACCAGGCACGGGCCCGATGGAAAAGTACAAGCTTCGAAGATCGAAGTGGTCGATGAACACCGAGGCTAAGTATAACCGACCTCGAGATAATACCGTTATGGTTCCATAACAGAAAGAGCGAGATTCCCGCAATGGCCCTAAGATCACAGCGTAAATTCCGAAACGGATTTGTGCTAGACGGTTAGACAGTTGTATATTAAGATTCTTTACTACAATTGAAAGTGTATCTTATTTAGGACTACTATATTATATAAAGGGGACCTCAATCATTTGTAACACATCAATCATTGAGAATAGAAATACACATTTCACTTTCTTGCTTACTATTCATGTGATTTGCCTTATTATTTTATTGTTCTTGCTAACCCACCTTGAGGCCGCCTTAGCTCGAGGTTGATACTTGATTATACACTGGTTTGACTTGCTCTACTCTTTAATTTATATATTAGGTTCCTTGTTTATCAATTAGTATTGGATTAAATCACACATCTTTAAAACCACAATACAAGTTTAATTGTTACTCGGATTTTAGGGTAAACAGTTTGGCGCCCACCGTGGGACTAAAGATAATAGTGATTATTTCAATAATGGTTCTGATAAAACACGTTATTTTCACACTTGTTCTTGTCAAGAATTTTTGTTAGGTCAAAAGATGTCAAACTCACAAAACACACCCGTACATGGCGATGATGGTCTTGGATTTCATGGGAAAACAACAATGTAGTTTCTCCGGGAGCCGGTGTACCACCGATTAACCCTGGGGAAGTGCCGATTGTACAACCAATCGACGTTAGTTCACACATTGCTTTGAATGCGGACTTAGGCGCAGACCCTGGAGGAAGTATATGCAAGGAAGTTTGATCTGGTGGCCAAGGAACACAGGGTATAAGAGACGGAGGAGTTAGTCTCCACGTAATATTCGAGATGCTAAAGGATCAACAGGTTGCTGTCGCTCAACTTCAAAGTCAACATAAAACTCCAAGTGTGGTTGAACCAGAAATTACTCGCCGAACTGAGCTGGTGCCGGAAAGATCGAACGGTAATGGATCGGAAACTGATCCCACGATTATAAAGATGCTCGAAGAGCTCACGAAAAGAATCGAGTTGGGAGAGAAAAAGATTGAAGATAATGACAAGAAAGTGGAGACATATACCTCCCGTGTTGATCAAATACCGGGGGCACCCCCGATCTTAAAAGGTTTGGATGCCAAAAAGTTCGTATAGAAGTCGTTTCCTCAGAGTGCGTCTCCAAAGCCCAATCCTAAAAAGTTACGTGTCCCCGATATACCTAAATACAACAGGACAAGCGATCCTAATGAACACATTACTTCATACACATGAAGGATTAAAGGAAACAACTTAAATGATAATGAGATCGAGTCGGTTTTGTTGAAAAA